AGAATAATGTTATAGCTGTGCTGTGTAAACTGGTGTGTCAGTGTATGTGATATGTTATAGTGTCCATGTAAGTGCAATCGAATGGCAAAGTTCGTCTTATTCGATGCTAAATGAATACTTTTGAATAATTTATGTAAAATACTTGTTTGTGTGTCATTTGTGATAAAAAATTTTGTAAATAAGAAAATAAAATAGAAAATTTAAGTTGAAGAGAAATTGAAAAAAGTAACAAAAAAGTTAACAACTAAAATAAACAACTTTAATGAAATTATAAATAATATCGAAAACAGTTTGACAGTGAGTGCATTGAAATAAGAAACAGATCAGTTAAATTAAAGCATACTTTTAGGAACTAATTAATAAATTTTAATTTATCAAAAAATTTTAACTTTAGAATAAGTTCTTAAGATCCTTTAAAAATTTTGCCCCTTGGAAATGAATTCTGAAAAAAATTCAATCATCGGGTTCTTAAGAACTGATCCATTAATCAAAAGTTGAATGCAAACATTAATACATTTAAACATAATTGGTTAATTAATTATCATATGAATAAACAAAGTTAGATAGGTGGATGCAATCATGAACATATTTTACAACCATTATAAAAAAAACTCAGTACCATTCTATTTAAGAACCATTTCGAGAATGAAACGAGAAGTAAAGAGTAACGAAAAGACAATCGTTTTCATATGTAATTACCGTAGTAAAAACAAATCAGCCATTATCCTCTTAAAGACCATTCAAGAATCAAAGAGACACACAGAAAATGAATTATAATCATATTTTACGACTATAAACTTCATCTTAAATATGAAATCATGAGTACAAGGCCAACAATAGACAAACACCTCTCAAAGTAAATGTCTAGTAACGAGCTTGGTGAATGGACCAATCTTCAATATAAAAGAGCACTACTGTGAAACAAATTTTGTAGACTTAAAACATAAAAAATTTAATTAATATATACTTTAATATACACTTTAAATACTTTAAAATATATACGACAACCTTACAACCAATATAACAAGACAATAAATAAAATATTTTATCTGTCTGTATAGCTGAATATCGATAGACATATAGAATACCTTTCACATTGTGTGACGTTAGTAATACTAACAGAAAGCTATATTTCAAAATAGTTCCGTTTTGTGCTTTAAAATTGACTTAGAAATCATCAACTTGGCTTGGCCAAATTACAAATAAAATAATATAGTGCGAAGAGTAAGAAAACTTCAAAGAAATTTCCAGATCAACAGTAGGTCTCTACAGTTACAACCATAGAATTGGATAAAAAGACGTACTTACTTATTTAAAAGGCCATAACTAAATGTTGACGGATTTCGACATGATACTACATATCTCTTCAGGCGCCTTTACTGATTGGGCACCTTCTCCAGCTACGTACATCAAGTGTGGTCAATACCTTCTCAATTGATCGGAGACATGGTTTACCTTTATGTTTTGATTCTAGGTCCACTTTCTCCAACTACCGCTTCAAATAAATTCATAGAAAGACGCTTAAGCAATATTTATAGAGATCTTGCTATGACTGGTAAAAAATTATTTACAAAAATTTTAACAACAGTCATTAAATGTTTAAATTAGTTATTTTATTATTGAAATCTTCACAGTTCCCGAACTTAGAAACCAATAAGGATTTAAGCAAGATAGAACTCTTATTATTGAAATCTTTACAGTTCCCCAACTTAGTAGAAAACGTAGATGTTAATATACCAGCATTTCACAGTTTAATAAACATAACTAAAGCATTACTTATATTAAAGCTTATCAATATTATTAATAAACATACTTATTTTTGTAAATGTGAGTTCTGAACCCAAACGAGTAATATAATGATGATGTCAATTTACAACATCTTTTAATTCGATATAACCGACTCAACTCACTTTGATCAACGAAAAAATGAAAACGTCTACAAAATTCTGAAGTAAATGATGAAAACGCCAGTATGCATCCATACCAGACATTATGGAAATGTTAATCAATGATATTTGAAAAGATTAGTACCACGTGAATAGGCCCATCCCTCTGCATCAACTATCTTGCCTAACATTTTTCAAACTGTTTATAGTTTCAAAGCTCCTGTACTATGTTAACAAGATCAATATGCAATCGCTTAAAGCATATTTTTAGGCTGCATATAAAGAAAGGAAATATACTTTTGATACAATTTATTTTTTTTTATTATTAATAATTTTTAATATGTATATAATTAATAGGCATACATCGAACAATAATATGTGATTAACAAATTTTGATTTAAAAAAACAATTTTTTTTAAGCGTTTAAGACTTATATTAGCAAATACACAACATAAGCTTAGTTTGGTTAATATCATTGTTGGTTAAAAGAAGATTTCGATTAGTATCTTTTATGTATGCAGGGATAAAAACCACTCTTGCAATAAAAGACGGACTTTCAATTGAAAAAAATTAACAACAGTTACTAGTTATTAGTTTTGAATTGTTGTAAAGCTTTTTCCGATATCGTCTAATATTCCTAATAAGTGCCCCTTATTTCAAAGTTTTCAAGTATTTCATATATGGAAAACACATTTCTTTTTGTTCGATTTGAAGTTCATACAACAGAGTACTTTTGCTAGAGCCACCAACTTCAACAGAAAAAACTTACTTCAAGTACAAATTCCTGTTCAGCCACTTCAATTTATTGCGTAAATAATACAATTTGCAAACAAAACAGCACTCGAATAATAACTACAGCAGCAACAACAACAATAACAACAACAATAACAACAACAAAGGATGCGTTACCAAATTGTATGGCACTTCAATTTTGAGTATCGCATCGAAGTACACACTTTGATTGAAGTAAAAATTACACTTAACATGCGATTTAATGTCAATAAAAGCAACTTATACAATGCAAGGATACAACGAAATATGCAGACAGACCAAAAGTCTTAGTTGTCCTTTTTGAGGACACACGCACATAGAGCAACTAAAGTTTAATGTTTGCAACATACCTCCCCACTCCTCCGCCGTTCGAGTGCACGTGTAGTAGCGCACGTATGAAGAAAACGTTCCTAAATTGTCATTTTTAGTTAATGTTGTTGTGAGCTTCCTTGCTTCCTGGGTTCTTTTCCTGCGTGTTGTTGTTGCTTTGTGTGGCTTAATATCCTCTTGTGGTATAATTTTCATTTCAAGTGTCATGCAACGAATTCAAGCACACTTTTTCCTTCTACTCTTGCGGATTTTGTTGGGTTTGTTTGTGTTTTCAAAAAGTGCTAAGAAATTTTTTACGTTAACATATGAAATTGTCAGATTTGAAGAGTCTTAAATGTAGTGCCATTGACAGCACATACGAATTCAGCAGACAATTTTGGAATTCTGTTTTTTCTTTTTTAAGGTTTGCTAACCTCATTGCAAAAGGTGAAAAATTTAAGGCGACAAATTTAGTAGAAATTTAAGACAGAATTTTTTGGTACATGCATGATAAAGGATTATTTAAAGATAATCTAAACTAGTTAGGTGAGTAGCTACGCTAAGAACGTACTGAAGATCACTAATAAAACTAAATAGTTTTCAAAGAAGTTAGTGACAATGTGATCTGGGTGGGGCATCAAAATTTAGTAATGGTTCCGTGTTGCGTGAAATTTAATTCTGTCCGCTCAAAGATTTTAAAAATGTTAAGGTGTTTGTTTATTACAAACAAAGAAAAAAATTCGATTTAATAAGCGAGTTCAAAATTTGGATAGTCCTAACCAGATTACGATATAATCTGTTATAAAAATAACTTTGTAGTGAAACTAAAAAATGTTAACAAACTCTTCCTCTAAAGAAACATTTTATAACAGTCACATAACATTAGCTTAACATAACGCTGTTAGTTTTACAGAAAATGTTGCAATTTCTTAACATTTCTTGTCTACAGAAAGTTTGTTGATCTCTTTTCTTTGTTCTTTTATTTATTAAGAAAATAATAAAGAAAAATAAGTTGATAAACAAAATAACAAAAAATTAAAATAATTTACAAAGATGAAAACAAAAACAAAACGAAAAATTTAATGTAAAATTTTATTGAAGAATATATTTTACATTTTATACTCATATATGTAAGTGTATGTATGTAGGAGACAACACAAGTGCGTGGGGAAAAATATTTTTATAAGTTAAAATGTATAAAATAATCTTATTATTAACATTCAGTATTAGACATAACAGGTCTAATGTTATTGTGTATCCATAATTTTGTATTAACAGTTTATCTGAGCAGACTATAAGATATCTAAGTTTATTTAGAACACAATCAGAGATATATATTTGCATAGAGATATGTCTCTGGTATAGTACTGAAATAAATGTTATGTGAATGAGTCACCAAGATCTTATACGTAAGTGAGTATCGACAGTTTTATTGATAGCACCTCAAAAGGTAATCTAATCTCATTTTAATTGACTTAAAAATAAATTTAATAAATGTTTATTTTAATTTCATGCCTTTCAAATGCAAATGAATGAATAATGTTAACCCTTTTAGAGCAAAACAATTACTGAAAAATTAAATTGTTGAAAAATTAACTACTAATTCAACTAATAAAATAAATGCTCAATAAACCTACATCGCGAAGACAAGTCTTTTAAAATATACGAATTATTAAGGTATACACTAATAACATAAAAATCCAACCTATATGCAAAGATATATCTTTGGAAAAATGCAAAATACTGTAACTACACTTGTAACTTAAAAGCCTTGAAACAGAAAAATTTATAATAAACCTTTAACCCTTTACAAGACATATCTTCATCCTTTCCTAAAAGCAAACAAATATGTTCCCTTATAGTTTAAGAATAAGTTCTTAGGTAAATGCTTTTTAAATCCCCTAACATTTAAAGACTAACCATTGTCCCCACGCCTCTGTTATCTGAAAAACATACAAACAAAGAAATTATCAGTTAAACAGAAATATTTTACAATTGAATCAACCATGAGAGACCCGGAGTTCAGTACGCAAAATGTTGTCGAAGCAAGTAAAACGTAGTCTGCGTTTCAGTAATATCGGATCTCCATGGATTGTAACACAAATTGGATGTAAAAATTATGGAACTCAAGCTGAATTGAATGTAAAATTTTAAATTCAATTTACAAAGAAAAATATGAAGATATTGTATGAAAATTAATAGGAAAGCAAGCCTACAGAATTCAATTTAAAAAATGCACGACCAAGTGAAGAAGTACCGGGTCCCAGCAAACTGGAGTTTGTACGTGGATTTTTACCAGGAGGTAAGAGTTACAACTATTTTAAGAAATTTCGTTAATTTATGTATACGAACTATATAACGATGTCATCATAAAATTTATATAGTTGATATTGTTGCATATAATTAATTTTCTTCTTGCCATCCATCTCTGGAAAGCATTCTCTTATCCGCCACATGAAGACGCACTGGATGCTTACCATAGATAGCTTAACCCAAGGAACAATTAACCTTACTTTATTTTAAATTAATTCACTTCTATCATTTTTCTTCCATCTATAGGTCTCTTCTACAAAAAAGGCTTAAACGATATGATTTTAATTCTGTCCAAAAAATATGGTAATTTATATCGAATACCAGGATTGTTTGGGAATAATACTACCTACGCAACACTTAATCCCAAAGACTATCCTGTATTGTTTCGTAATGAAGGCAAGTGGCCTATACGTAGAGGTTTCAGTTGTATAGAACATCATCGAAAAGTGCATAGACCAGAATTCTTTGAGGACGTAGAAGGATTAACAACATCGTTAGTAGACTGCTCTAATTATAACATAATATTTTTATAATATATAAAATATTTAAAATATTTTATTATATTTCAAGTTCTGGTGAACAGTGGGCTAAAGTACGTACTGTAGTGAATCCAATACTCATGCAACCAAAGAATGCCAAACTCTACTTTAACACGTTGCTCGATGTTAACTATGAATTTTTGGAGAGGTTAGTGTTTAAAAAAAAATATTTAAAATTTACTTTTAATAAATAAATTATTTTTTATTTATTTATTTAAAAAAACAAACAAACTTGCAGAATACGTACTATACGCGATCCTAGCACACAGGAAATGCCTGATGACTTTGAGGATGATATCAATCGGTTGACACTAGAATCAGTCGCTGCTGTGGCTATGAACACACAATTGGGTCTCATTCATAAGAATCGTCATACTGCAGAATCGAAAACTATTATAGAGACAATACGAAGCGTGTTTGAGTTGGCCTATGATTTGGAAATACAACCACCAATCTGGCGATATATCAAAACACCACAATATAAAAAAATGATGAAGTCACTGGATACAATGCTGGACATCTGTAATAAATATATCAGTGAAGCACTAAGCAGGATTGAACACGATGAAAGTGGAAAACTGACAACAGAAGCTGGTAAAGAGAAGAGTGTTTTGGAGAAATTAGCAAAGAAAGACAAAAAAATTGCTGTAGTCATGGCGTTAGATATGATGTTAGCTGGTGTGGATACAGTAAGTATAGAAGAAATACATATATTTTTTTAAATCTGATTTAAATTATTTATATTTGAAGACAAGCACCACAATAACTAGTATATTGATTTGCATTGGTAAGAATCCAGAAAAACAAGCTAAACTATTGGCAGAGATAAAACAGATATTACCGGAGAAGAGTTCTAAACTGACAATCGAGAAAATGAATAATCTGCCTTATTTACGCGCCTGCATTAAGGAAGCTATGCGTCTATATCCTATAGGACCAGGTACGCTGCGCGAAACTCCTTACGAGATCGTATTAAGTGGTTATCGTATACCAGCCGGTGTAGATGTGGTCACAGTAGGAAATTTACAAATGTGTGATGAAGAATATGTGCCACATGCTAAAGAATTCATACCGGAACGTTGGTTGCGAGATGAGCAGGCTGCTAAGTATGCTGGAGATACAGCTAATTCGTTTATGTATTTACCCTTTGGTTATGGGCCTCGCAGTTGTGTAGGAAAGCGCATAGTCGACATGGAACTTGAAATCTCAATTGCACATTTGGTGCGGAATTTCAATATTGAATTCAATTATCCTATAGAAAATGCCTTCAGGCAAAAATTCATTATGGTTCCTAATATACCATTGAAATTTAAATTTGAAGAAAGAAACAATTAATGAATATGTTATTATGTGATGTAATGTTAACAATGATGTTAATGCAAATGTTATATATTCCATTTATTATATTATTTTTCAATTAATTAAAATATTAAAACATTAATAAAAAATATTTTATAATGTTATAAAAATATAATATTAT